CATATAGTAAATTTAAGCTATAGAAAATGTCCATTTTAGATGGAATTCATGTTCATTTGTAGAAGGAATAACCTTCCAATATAAAAGACAAACGATCAATTTTTTGATAAAATTGAAGTATAAATTATTAATTAACATAACTTAATTCTTTAATTAAAACTCTTATTTGTTGAATTTTGGCTAATAAATTAAATCTATCATAAACATTCATTTTAGGTGGAATTTATGTTCATCTACAGTCGTTTTATACTAATATATTTTTAATTGAATTTGATACATGTTTAATTGTTTATTCTCATAATAAAGGATATTCTTTTGAAATTTAATACATCTTCATCTTTACTGATAAATAAAAAGACATTTTTTTAAAACGTCGATGTACCACATAGTCTCTTTTTAATTGTGCCATGTCACCCTTTCAACATTTCATGAGGCCACATCATCACTCAAACAATCTTAACCATTATTCCACGTCACCCAAGAAACCAATATCAATTGGTTAAAAACACAAGGATAAGGAGATTTGAATCCTCAACCTTAAACCAAAGATAACTATTTAACCATCTAAGCCACAGTTATCAACTATGTTTATATATATATATATATATATATATATATATATATATATATATATATATATATATATATATATATATATATATATGCAAACCACAAGGTTTAATTTTTGTAAAAAAAAAAGTGAAAAAAGGTACTCAAAGAATAATTCAATTTTGGTTTGACAACGACAATTTTAATTTTGAAATGCTTTTAATAAGATTAATTGATTGTACGTCTACAATAATAGCAACCTAGGGCAACGCCTGGGCTACTCACTAGTTTTCATATTGAAAGAGATTCGTTTGCAATCTAATACAATATTCATTCTCATACCATTTTTTTTTTAAATCCATATTCATTCTCATACCTAAACATGTTCATTTAGTTTAATACTTGTTCATTCTCAAATTTAAAAGATACGGAATATTTGTTTTTCTTTTATTACTTGTTTGTTGTCGTTCCAAAAAAAACTCAATTAAGTTTTGATAATTGTTCATTCTCGTATTGAAAGATGCTTATTTGACTTTTTAATATTTGTTCAATTTTATGTTGAAAGATGTTCATTTGAATTTTAACATTTGTTCATTCTCATATTTAGTTGTGTTTCTTTATAGCAATGTGTTCAAATTTGTATTTGTAAATGTTTAGTTCATTATCCTGTTTTGTTTATAGTATAGTGTTTTGATTGTTACTAACATTTTCTCTTAGATAATTTATTTGTTATTTTATTACACAGTATAATGAAATAAAAAAGTTGAAGACGATAATGAATATATTAACAAAAAGATATGTATCAAGAAAATCACAGAACATGGGTACAACCATATAACAAGGAGGATGCATGATTCTATATATCTTTTACTTATACTAAATGTATAAATCAAAAGACAACGTTTATTTTGTAAAGCACATATGTGATATGTACATTTTGAAGTTCAAATTTTAAACAATTTTTTTTCAAAGGATAAAAATTTAGCATATTTAAAAGTTAAAAAAGTTCGTTGTGATAAGGGTTAATCAGGGTTACTAAGTTTTATTTAAAAATAAAATAAGTTCTAATAAGGGTTAATAAGTTCATATAAATAAAAATCAGGTCAATAGAGCACACTCTTATCCTATATTGAAAGATATTTTTTTTTATATTTTATATGAAAGGAAAAATTGCAAAAATTCACCTTTTATAACAACTTTTTTTTTGTAAAAAAACACCTTATAAATTATTATTTTTTTTTTGTAAATGCACACCTATTACCACTTTTTTTTTTTTGCGAATTAACACCTTACCCTGATTTCCGTCCTTTGACTTGATTTTCAGTCATTGACTTGCACGTGAGAAGCATGTGTTCAATTCCCCCATTTCTCTTTTTTTCCCATTACCCTTTATTTCTTCAATTCAACTTTCTCTCTCCTACCTTCTTTTCCAACAAAGCCCCAATTACTCACCATTGACAAAGGAAATTCCATTTTTAAGCGTGAATTGCTGCAACTAACCTAATTTTGAGTAAGGTAAGTTGTTGTGATTACTGAAATTTGTTGTACGTATGTTGGGTTTCAAATTTTCATAAATTAGGGTTTGTAATTGAAATTTAGGGTTCTTCGTTTTTTCCCACCAATGATGGAATTAGGAGTAATTTCGAGTGGCCAGTGTACACCAATGCGGTCTTAATGGAGGAAGGGTGTGAGGAGGTGGAATGGGGTTTTTAGGTGGATGGGGATGAATAAACGAGGGTGGAATTTTCAGGGGAGTAGATTTATTAGGTGACATGACATTGGTGAGGGTGGTAGTGAATCGGTGATGGCGGTGAGGTGGTGTTGGTGGTGGTGGTGGTGATGTAGTGGTGGCGGTGGTGAGGTGGTGTTAGTGAGGCAAAAGAGAAAAAAATAGAGGAAGACAGTTTTATGAGATCACGTGACCCACACGTGCGAAGTCAACGTCGAAAAACCAAGTCAAACATCGAAAACCAAGTTAAGGTGTTACTTCGAAAAAAAAAAAAGTGGTTTTAGGTGTTCTTTAATAAGAAAATTTTTATAAGGTTTTTTTCACAAAAAAGGAGTTATTGTAGACACCCAAATGTGTATTCCCAAAAATCTAACCTAGTGATGGATACTTTTCATGTCGCTTGATTATCGAATGAGGTGAAAGTGTGAAAAGTCTTGCGATGCGGTCGTTTTAATAAATATTTTCTTCCTGTTTTTGAAAATCTTCTCTATTTTATGAAAATAGCCAGTCCAATTTAGCTTGATCCATGATAAGGGTCCAATAATAGTGAAGTTGGGTCGAGCTTGTAAAGAGCTTTCCAATGATATATTATAAGCCCAATTCCGATTAATAATGAGGAAGTTATGGTCCAAATACTAAATTCGATCTGAAATGGTTTTATGGCCCAATGATCTAGTGAAGGGCCCATTAATTATTATTCCTAAAATTATTAGGATTAATTATAATCTTCTAGAATAGTCTAGAAGGTTATTTTGAGTTCTAATGGCATTAGAATTGATAATTAATCTTTTTGGAAAAATAATGAATTTGGTTTGAAATAAAACAATTGTTTTAATATGATAAAATCTGATTTGAAATTAATTAAAAAGGAGTTCTAATTGCTTAATCATATTAAGAAGAGGATTCCGTACAAAAGCGCGTTTTATCTTTTAACCATCGCCAAACGACAGAGCCTGTCGCCATGCGTGATCCTTGTCGTTTCGCGCTGGGCTCTATCGTTGGCGATAGGGATCAGTTTTATTCCGATTCAAATTCTATTACTTTTCTATCGATTTTGGACTATTTTCTTATAAATAGGGGTCGTATTTCCCCGTTTTTATGGACCAACAATCAACATTCAATCATCTAATTGTTTCTCTCTCTAAAAGCTAGAAGCTTATTCTTCTCCCTCTTTCTAAGCCTAACCCCTTTTACAAAATTCCGCATACACAAGTTCTAGACACGCCTTGCCAAGTTCGAAATTGTCTTCACCCTAGACGTGAAAGTTTATAATTTCTGAGGGTTTGGTCCCAAATCTCTATCTCAATTAATTATTTAATTTAATTGTTTGATTTAATATTTTCCTTGAAGTTACTAACGCATGTATTTTGTTATTAAAAAGAGATACGAGGCGTCGAAGTAAGTAATTTAATTACTTTGTTATTCTTTTGATATAGAAATCATGCTTATATTATTATTAATTCCTAGTATCATGTTGTGATGCTTTTATTGCTTTCTAGTATTATGTTTAGGTTGCTTTTTATTCTTTCTAATATCATGTTAGAGATAAAGATTTGATTTTATTGTTTAGTGACATGCTACGATTTGTTATTAATCTTGTTAGTATCATGCCTAGGATCTTGCTTGCTAATAATATTATTATGCTTTATTGAATATTATTATTATGATGATGATTTATTATGTTACTTGATATTATTATTGCTTGATCACGCTTTTTATGCATGTTTAAAGTGAATTTATACTTGTAATCACGCTTAATAAGATAATTAATAATCTTGTTTAGGCTAATATGATTATAATTCAAGTGATCGTCAATAATAGATTTATTTGTGCATTAATATTCAACAACATATATTAAACAGGTTTAGGGTTAACCTATTGATTGTATGTTAGTCAGCAAGTGCACATAAATATGAGAAGAATAAAGTAGATGTCTATTTTTAGGGCAGATTCAATCTCTTTTAGGTTGGATTTGTATCTTCATTCCCAAATATTCAATCATAGTTCCAGACCACTATATAGTTAGCGATTTCATGGATCGTGAAGGGGTGTAACCTTCACCCTGTGAACGTCTAATTTCCTTCTCTTTGAACGCCACCATAATTAAGTATATGATCATAGTGGGCTCAAGTGTGGAAATAATGTGGGATACTTAAAATATTCCCTACAATTATAAAAATTGGTTTTTTGCAATTATTCCTATATGGAAAGATATTTTTTCAAACGAAATCTATTAAATTAACTAAACAATAAGATAAATTAATTAAAAAAGGTCTAAAAACAAATTTGAAAAAATATAATAATTTGAATATAGTACATTATATTAACGAGATTGAACATTAATGATACAAGATTGAACATTTACTTAAATAAAAATGAATATGTTACATGAAATCTAAAATATAAAAACTATAAAATGACGTGAAAAAAGGGGGTGCAAGCAATGCTACCTGCATATGGGTGTAGGCAAAAATTTGTACCGCTACTTTTTTTGCAGGTTTGGACATAATATATGATGTTAAGGCCCGGTCTCACCTGAATTTTTTGTCACCTCTAATATTGAGAGGACAAATTTGCTCAACCCTGTTGATTGATTTATCATACCAACACAGTGACACTATTCTCACTTGCATGCTCTAAGAAAAGAAACAAATAACAAACAGAAGAAATCGGCACATTGATGTACATCAACTGAGACCGACAATAATGCATATACATGATCTCCAGGGGTAACAACAGCCTCTATACTAATAAGTGAAACAAAGAGATTTGTTGACACAGAATTATTATAGATGCAAGTCATAATACTTGTAAACTATATAGCTTCAAAGGTGAATAATTCATAGTGCCTTGTACATAACTTTTGCATAATAGCTCAAGGAAGCCATAAAGTGAGATTTTGTTAACTCATTACTGACACAAACTGAAATCCTGTTCATCAAATCCTATCCGATGCAGTTTCTCAACTTCAAAAAGCTTCACAGGCTGCTATGGTGTTGATTATCCGTTCAAAATCTTCTCTGCAAAAAAATGAGAGAAATTGGATACTCTCCGGCCTCAAATAATAACAACATAATCCTATTGAAAACTTGCAGAAAAAAGTTCACCTGTGCTAAACAAAAATCAAATTTTGATAAAGTTTTTCACTATAATTAAGTCGTGAAAAAAGGATAGAAAAGATTCAACAGCCATCACAAAAGGTACTTTGGTAAAATGAATATTACAAGATTAGGATTAAGGGCCTATTTACTGAGCTGGGTTGAACTGAACAGGTCTGAACCACATCCCATGTTCACATCCATTTAGGGTCAGGCTGATACGGGTACAGCTGAGGTAAAAGCTGAGTCGGAACATCACAGCTGAAAGCTGTCCTGATTCCATTTTTATATCGTGTCAGGAAAGGCTGAAAAGCTTAAAATGCATTATTAACTAAGGGCTAAGGCCTTGTTTAGTTCACCTTATTTTTTCTTATTTCAGAAAAAATAAGTTCAGATCAGACTAGAAAAAATAAGTTCAAATCAGATCATCGTTTTATGTGCTATTTTTTATAACTAAATATCTTTAATTTCATAATGAAAAAAATTATGAAAATTACATATGAATAAAATACACATTATTACGAATCTAACAAGATCACACTTGATATATTTTTTCCTTACAGATTATCATACACTTAAAGTCAAAGTTATGTCAAAGCAGACAATAAGATCAGATCAGACCATCAGATAAGCAAAAATAAGGTAAACTAAACATGGCAAGTATCTTGTAAAAAAAAAAAAAAAAAAAAAAAAAAATCATGGCAATTATGACAAATATCACTTACTTGATTAATTCCAGTTTGCATTGCAGGTGAATAGTTCCTAGAGTTCTGTTCATCTGGCGTCTGTGAAAATCTTTGGTTTTCTGCTTGAGATGCATATTCCAGACCATATCTTATACTTGCTCCCTGAGAAGAAGTACCACTGAGTCCTTGACCATATCGTCCAGCCTCACTTTGTTCAAAAGATCCAACCCCATTTTGCCCATCAGCTCCTCTTGCTGGAGGCGGGGGAGCGTAGTTCCTACCATCATTAGGATATTCCATTTGTCCTTGGGGTGTGTAGCCCCCATGGTTACTAGGGTAGTTCCTCATCTGTCCTTGGGGATGGTTATAGCCATGTTCTCCTGGGTAATTGCTGCTTTGTCCATGTGGGACAGGAGTACCATGGTCACTGGGAAAATTTTGCGTCTGATGCTGATGGGTATAGCTATGGTTGTAGTTTCCCTGCTGAGGAGGCACATAAGTGTTTCCACCACCCTGCTGAGGAGGCACATAAGTGTTTCTGCCTCCCTGACGAGGAGGCATGTAAGTGTTTCCACCACCTTGATAACCATCCCTTCCTTGCTCAGGATAATTTGTCCTATTTGGCGGGTAGCCCATCCCTCCCTGACGAGGAGTGTTTTGGCGCTCTAGATTACCACCCTGTGGCATATAGCCTCTCCCTTCTCCAGGCATTGGATTATTCATTGGCCTTTGTTCATTTGGTCTATGTCTCTTTACTCTACCATACTGAACTGGAGGTGGTCTTGGTATGATGGTTCCATTAATGTACTTATCTCCTATAGTAGGGCATTCAAAACAAAACTTCAATAAGGAAGCATAACAATAAGCCGTGCAGGATACACTAAAAGTACAGCTATAGAAACAACAGTGGGATAAACTTGACAAAATATCTGTGAGAAATGACCACAAAAATCCCCAGCTTCAATTTGCTTAAAAGTGACTGCGCATATAGAAGCATAAGTTGCTTTTACCTCCATATTCCTTGTTCACTGGGTCTATGTATGAATCTGGCAATACGAAAATAACTCCAGGCATACCTGCAGAAAAGTTCATCTTTTAAGAAAACATTATAGTTTGGCAATTAAAATAATTTATTTTAGCACAATATTACCCTCAAATTTCTGTGATGTCTCCTCATCCATCTCAGCTTGAAAACCAGTGTAAGTAGTGGTGCTACATGCATACATTCTCTTCTTTGCCTCTTCAACACTGATAATGTTGAGAAAGAACTATATATTAATCCAAGATCAACACATACAACTCTAGTGCTTGATTGAAACAAGCATGATAGAAATAGAACAGGCTAAAATGCTTATTAAGAACAGATTAGGAAGAAGAGGCTGTATTTTATTATAGAGAGAGAGAGAGAGAGAGAGAGAGAGAGAGAGAGAGAGTAAGAGGTCACTAAATTTCTGATCAAATGGACAGTTTAAGTAGGTTACGGGATTCATTACAGTACACTGGAGTGAATTGCAAGAACAAATAGCTAATATGTATTTGTTGTGAGATAATCTTGTTGCAATATAGATGCAATTGTTCCCCTCATACCAAGCACAAGAACTTTTAACCCCACTTTTGTTTTGTTTACCTCAAATCTTACATAAACTAACTTCCGTGGAATCTCTCCCTTAAATTAGTTCCCTAATATCCATTGCTCCAATACAATCATTCTTTGTAAGAATACACACATATTAAGCCTGGCCTATAAAGTTGAGTACAATTTTCATAATAAAGGAATGAACAAAACCAGTGATCCACCTGGCCATCGGGGAAGTCTGAACTAGTTCATAGTCCAAAGAGGGAGAGTTGCTGAGAGAGTTGCTACAATTAGTACTTCCATGTCAAGATAAGACCATGATTCCCCTTTATTGTGCTTTTTCTTATCTATATTTCCAATTTGTGGCTGTAAAATTTGTATAACTAGAATTCAAAATCTATTTGGTTACTGTCATCAATAAACCATAACATTTTGCCAATACCAAGGGTTACTTGTAGCAATAGTCTAATGACAGTAATGCATAATCAGCTTCTCCCCCTCTCCCCCTACCAAAACTCCCTTGCAGCAGACCCTACAACCATAAATCCATAACCACTCTACCTATGGAAACCCAGCCGCCAACATCAAGACACCTCTACTAATAAACCAGTACCATCAAACCTCCCTCCAAATACAACCACACCATAAACCTGCCTAGTCAATCGTCACCACCTCGCCATAGTCACACCACTTACCCTCCTTATCCCGGACCATCTCCATACACCCTAGCTGCCTAGCCAACCGCCCCATCAACATGCCTAGCCAACTGCCACCACCTTGCCATATTCACACCCACTACCCAGCAATTACATACCACCTACAAATTAAACTGACATTTACCAATTACAACTAATTTTTACTAATTGCAACTTCTTCGAATTATTTTTTTTCGATTTTTAATTGAAGTTACTGAATCTTTTCAATTAAAATTGATTTTTTTTTCTTTTTACTTATTTTTTTTTAGTAAGGTGGGAAGAACACAGAACAGGGCATAAACTCTGAAAACGAGAAAATACTTCTCTCAACCAAATGAAGCCTAATTCATTGAACTTATAGTGTTTTTTTTTATAAAAAAAAAAAAAAAAAAAAAAAAAAAAAAAAAAAAAAAAAAACCAATAACCCCTTATTTTCAATCAATTAAACCATGAATAAATTCAAATTCAAAAACAAACAAACAAATAATTCGAGAAGCAAAAAACGAATACCTTCCTACAACTTTAGCCAAAGTTTGAACATAAGTTTCAACCATTTCTTCAGGAGAAGGTCGTTGTTGAGGATCCTTTCCAAAGTCCATAACAATAAGCCAGTGTTTATAATCACAGCCCTCGAACAGAATGGTATCGGGATCGATCATTTCAGCATCGTTGAACGACCTCGCGGAAGAGAGACAGAAGTGGGTAGAGTGGAAGAAACGACGGGAGAATGAAGGGGAGGTGGAAGAGGGTGTAGAAGAGGAGGAAAGGGGGTTTGGAGGAGGAGAGAGGAGAGAGAATTTGAGGTGATTGAGAGGTTTCGATGAGTGGCGAGGAAGGTGGAGGACAGAGAAAGTGCTCGGCGGAGACGAATGGCGTTGAGCGCCATTAGAGGAGGAGGAGGAGAGTTGAGAGTTAGAGAATGAAGGGTTTTAGGGGAAGTGAGAGCTGAGGTTTATGCAATTTTGATGTAGTTCATGGTTTTGTTTACATTAGGGACTGGAGTCTAGAGAGTATGAGTTAATCACTTAATCGTGTTGATGGACAAAAAAAAACGTCGATTAAGGAGCATTTTGGTAATATTTGCAAAAAAAGAAGGGTGATTAGGTAAAATTTGGGAGAAAATATAAATTGATATCCAATATCAACAAAATTTGTTTATATGGCGGTGTGGTCTTTTCCCAAAATAGAGTGAGTCTGGGCGCATAACACCTATGGGCGAGCTATGTAAATAAGAGGGTAAGGAAGTAATTTTCGCTGATTCAATTTTTGATTCTAGAAAAAGCTGACTCTCTAGTGGTACATTATAATGTACCATTATGTACCATCATGCATATATAATGTACCACTAAAATATAATTTGTTTGAGTAGTACGTTTTATGGACTATTACAGGAGTAGTGGTACTTTTTACCATCCTAAAAGTTTCAAATTTTGGAAAAAACTGACTCTTTAATGGTATATAAAAGTACCATTATGCATGTATAGTGTACCACTAAAGTATAAGTTTTTTTAATAGTACTATTTAATTTGTAAAATTGTCATCCTATATGCGCTGAAATCAATAGGCGCTATGCACCAAGACTTAACCCCCAAAATATAGGAGGGACAAATTGGTACTCTCTCATGTTTCTTGGCAATTCTTGTAAGTCGTACCCCTTTTTCAAATATACGGTCGTTAACGAAAGGATGTAACTGCGTGAGTACAAGCCTTAATCTCAAACCCCATATCGCAATTGCACTTATAGTGGTGGTAAAAGGGAGGAATCCAATTTTGTTGTCGCCTAACCGATATATATAGCTTGTAATGAGGATCCATTCCTAATATATACCCATCAAATCATTGCTGGCAAATCGAAGGGAAATGGACTAATGGTGTTGGATTATGCTGGAGACAACATCACCAACAGGTGGTTTGATTTCTTAAAGGTACTTGAACTTATTGAAAATGGAAATTGTGCTCTAATATGGTTGGGATAATTATTTATTGGATTATTGGTTTGAATAATTTATCATATTATATATTTGGATGCATTTAGAAGTGATGCATTTGTCCGATTTGTATGGAGCCGAAATTGTATTTCTACAATTAGGATAACGGATTTATGCATTTTGTCATGAATATAATTTAGATTATGCTTGTGTTCTTTGTATATAATTCTATTAGTATTGAGTTATTTGTTTGAACGAGTAATTACTTAATATACCATTTATTAATAGTTAGATTCGTAAATTGTTGTCTGAATTTACAATGTTTTAAACTTGCACTAGCACTAAGATATGGATGGACGGAGATGTTTAAAGCAGAAGTGGAGCATAGAGTAAGCATTGAAAGGATTCAACTCACGAGCTGAAAATTTGAAATTTTGTTGATGGTCAACCACTGCCACCTGGAATTCAGGGCCGACCCTCTCCCTGTGCAAACAGACCTACTGCACAGTGATATGAAATAACAAACAAAACCCAAGAAAAAGGGAGGAGAAATCAAGTAACAACAAGTTTAAACCAACAAAATAAGGCAAACCTATATCAAAAACACCAAGATAATGAAAATAGGGGTCTTAATCAAAGCCAACACCAAGTAAAGCTAGGATTAAGGTGTAACCACAAAGATTACAAGGTAGCATTCATAAAGAAAGCAAGATAATCACAAAGATTATGGTAGAGAGAGAAAGTCTCTTTGATTACAAAATCAAGCAAAGTTCAACATTAATTTCATTGCAAAAACGTCTTAAAACAAATTAAATAATTTGCACAAGCTGATAGAAAAACGGGAAAGGGTTCGGCCGAACTAAGGGTAAGTTTGGTCGAACTTGTGGGTAGGTTCGGCCGGACCTAGGGATGGTTCGGTCGAACCTTTGGAGTTCGACCACTGCTGCAAAACTGACAAAATCGGGTTTGAAACTGACAAAATGGTTCGGTCGGACATGCTTTGGTTCGGTCGAGTCCCCTGCTCCTCGCGACTGCCTGGACAGCTCAGCTTCAAACGTTCATAATTTCTTCGTTTCTTGCTGATATTTGGCATGACCTGTCGTTGGAAAGCTCTTGAACTCTAGTTTCACCTCCAACTTGAATCACCTAAAAATTCCTTATAACGAAGGAGCTATGGCTGAATGAAGTAGTTGCATCATATATTGATAAGCTTCTTCTCTTTCATCCTCGTTCCCATTGTTTATCTTCAACCATCAATTGTAAAATCAAGACACAAGGATTGTTTTTATTCACCTAAGTCACGTCATAACATAGAGAAGTTACCCAAAAGTAGAATGGAGCCATAAATGCCACCAATTGGAACATATAGTCGCATAACTCGTAGTTTTCAATGATGCTCCCGCATCAAACCCTCTCTCTTGAAAAGGAATTGACCTCAATTCTTAGAGATGACATAAAACTCAAACCAAAACTTAGATAATGACTTCATTATTAAAAGAAATAAATCCTACTTGGCTTCACAGAACACATTCAACTGATGTATCTACCCGGATCAAACACCAAGATGACGAACTTGAGCAAAATGAGGAGTAAAATTAAGTGAACCATTGTGTAGAGCAAGAGGAGAACAATAATATCACCATTCACATTATTGATTCTTTTACCCAAGCACCCACCACAAGCGCAATACGATAACCATGGGGGTTAGCTAACACATGATGATCCAACAAGTAGTGTAGAATCACATTGAAAAATATCATTGAAGGAATATCCAACACCAAATGTGGAACCAATGCAAGATGTACCAATAAACACATCGTAGAACAAAGAATTCCTTTCAAATTATTGTCTTGCAATACTCTTACCAACATGAAAATATGGTAAACAAGAATCTAGCTCAAGATGCTCATAAGAATTCGAAGTCATTGAACAACCACTTTGCTCATTAAAAGAGGCTTTCACAACATCCAACTTAAATTCTTCTTTCAATTCATGCTCTATATAGTAATCATCACAACTCTCATTAACATGAATGTCAAAAACCTCACTAGAAGAACATAAGGAAGGAGTAGGATTATATACCTCACTTAAGAGATTCTCATAAGTCGGAGACAAATAATCATCAACATGAAATGTGGACTTCATGTTTACTTCATTCAAGATCATAATCGGTAATGCCTCTTTGCAATTTGTTGACTCGACATCAAACACTACCTCTTCATCATAGATTGGTGGACCATAGTCTCTCTTATGATCAAGTGGAAAATGTGGTGTAGATATTTCTTCATCCATACTAGGAGCTTCAATTTTGCACATAGCCTCTTCCATCATAATTGGCAAAGGCTTGTGTGTCTCATCCTTTGATGCACAAGGAATTTTGAAAGAAGGTTTAGAATACCCACTAGCACTACTCACCTTATCAAGCTTCTCAAAGTTTAAAGCCTTTTGCACTACATGATCAATACTTCCATGGTCACAAACATCATCTTTTAACCTTAGCTTCCTCTCAAGATAACCAATGTTCCTAGCAATCTTATGTTTTGGGGCCTCTTCAATCCCACTCAAAATAGGAAGATTTTCAAACTCCCTTGTATACTTCTCCACCATCATAGATCATTGATTGAGAGCATTCAACTTAAGAAAAACATCATGCAAATAATCTCTAGGAACAAAAGCTCTACTCATGTGCTTCAATTTATCCCAAGATGTGATTTTTGTTTTTCCATCTTTCTTTCTATGATTCTTTAGTTCTCATACCACAAAGAAGCATGTCTTTTGAGTTAAGGATGGCCAATTTGAAACCTTTTTCATCATTATAACCCTTATATTCAAACACATTCTCCATACTCCTAACCCAATCAAGAAATTCATTAGGATCAAGATTACCTTCAAAGTCCGGAAGTTTCAAAATGGTATCTCGGTCACGGTTGTCCTCATGGTGCCGTTGGTGGTGTTCCCTTCTCCGATGAGGAGAGTGAGAATCATCTTCTCAACTTGGGCTTCTCCTTCTTCTAGGACATCTTCTAGGACATCTTCTATTCTCCAAGACCTCAAGAAGTCTATCAAACTTCCTTTCTAGACCATCCAATCTAGAGTGTTCATTGTAACTTTCATCATCTTCATAATAGTACCTATCACCCATGTTTTAATATAGAAAGCTTGTATCTTTGAGAGAAATTTCAAATTTTTGTGGGAAAAGATGAGATCTTTTGAGAGGGGAAAAGAGAAATTCAAAAAGGTAGGATCTTTCTAGGCTAATAATCTAGGCTCTTGATACCAAATGATATGAAATAACCAACAAAACCCAAGAAAAAGGGAGGAGAAATCAAGTAACAACAAGTTCAAACCAACAAAATAAGGCAAACCTATCTCAAAATCACCAAGATAATGAAAATAGGGGTCTTTATCAAAGCCAACACCAAGTAAAGCTAGGATTAAGGTGTAACCACAAAGATTACAAGGTAGCAATCACAAAGAAAACAAGATAATCACAAAGATTATGGTAGAGAGAGAAAGTCTCTTTGATTACAAAATTAAGCAAAGTTCAACATTAATTTCATTGCAAAAATGTCTTAAAACAAATTAAATAGTTCACACAAGCTGATAGAAAAACGGGAAAAGGTTCGGCCGAACTAAGGGTAAGTTTGGTCGAACTTGTGGGTAGGTTCGGCCAAACCTAGGGATGGTTCGTTCGAACTGTCCTGCTCCTGGTTCGGTCTAACCTTTGGAGTTCGTCCACTGCTGCAAAACTGACAAAATCGGGGGTTTAAAACTGACAAAATGGTTGGGTCGGACATGCTTCGGTTCGGTCGAACTCCCCTGCTCCTCGCGACTACCTGGATAGCTCAACTTCAAACGTTCATAAGTTCTTCGTTTGTAGCTGAAATTTGGCATGTGACCTGTCGTTGGGAAGCTCTTGAACTCTACTTTCACCTCCAACTTGAATCACCTAAAAATTGCTTGTAACGAAGGAGATATGGCTGAATAAAGTAGTTGCATCATATATTGATAAGCTTCTTCCCTCTCATCCTCGTTCCCATTGTTTATCTTCAACCATCAATTGTAAAATCAAGACACAAGTATTGTTTTTATTCACCTAAGTCACG